TAAGTCCCGGAGAGTGAAATCTTGAATAGAGGGTCGTAGATTTTGTGTATTCNTAAGTCCCGGAGAGTGAAATCTTGAATAGAGGGTCGTAGATTTTGTGTATTCTAAAATCGCCGAAAAAACTGATTTTAATAGGAAAAAATGGGTTTTTATAGTAGACGAGGGTCGTGTAGCGATCCCTAGTGTGATTTTGGAAACTGTAGATCTTAATTAATAGTTAAATATGATTGGCTGGACCTAATTGAGAACCCACGCATAGGCGTTACTTTGAATTTGTACGATAATCAGATTTAATTGCCTACTTTATTGATTATTTTATGTTTAAAAAAAGGGAACCCTGTTTTGGTGATCTTGTGAATTCATAATATATGACATACATGTACAAAAGATAACATAACATAATATTTTAATATTATAAGTGATAATATAATATTACATAAAATAAATCGTTAAAATTAATGAAGCTCTGAATATTTCAATTATAGAATCTTTTTAAACACCAAAAGATAATTATAAATGATTACTATGATTTTTATTAAAGTGATTTATTACGATAAATATTGTTTACAAGTTGGTTGAGTTTTTAGCGTTGATGATTCAATTTAAAGTACAGGTCTTGACGTTGGAGATACTAAGTAAATTAACCGTGAATGATGTCAATACTTTTATAAATGTCTAATATTATATATTTATATACGTTATAAATAGTCTCATTTAAAATCGACTGTGTTTGAAATTGACAAGGCTTAATCATTCTATTATAATAATGAATGTACAGTGTTTTATTAACGATTTATAGTTTGTGTTAGACAGTACTAACAAAACTGTATCAAAAGATATCAAATAGAAGAGCAAATATTATTGAATTACAATTAAAAATAAAGTTTAAAATTTAAATATACTATGTCCGGTAATGAACCATAATAATATATAATAGATTTTTTTAAATGACATTATACATTTTGTTCAATACTTGGTGAAAATATTAATTATAAAGAAATAGATACGACTATGTATGTATTATGATTGACAATGCTCAAAAACTGGTATTTGAATATTAGTTTGGACTTCTTACAAAATATGTCGCATAAGCTAATGGCATTTTCTTTAAAAAATCCTTTTTATTCGATGCAATATTCGTTATTATTAATATTTGTTTTTATATGAATGTACTTTATCAAATTCATGATTATAAATCTGACGGTATTTTTAAATATAAATTGGACTTCTAAAAGTTACTTGGAGTTACTAAGAATTACACGTCATTAATTTAATGCAGATTTTATAAGCTATATTTTATATTTAACAGCACAAAAGAACATTTAATAAAATTAATTTTGTTACTGTCAATTTTTTATTTACAAATTATGACAAACTAAATAAAGTTAATATAACATATTTATATCAATAGACCAGAATTTTAAGTTTATACATATTCTTATGGCTTTTATGTAGCTCATCAGAAGAAAAAATATTTTTGATTAATTACTAAGATAAAGAAAACAGTATTTCTTTTTTATTATTTAAATATATTTTGATGATTTAACTTATTTTTCAGTTACAATGAGTAATCGAGAAGCTATTTGTTTTACTATGACGTACATTTTTTTTTTGTGTTACAATGCTCTGCTTCTACTGAACCGATTTTTCTCAACAATACCATAAAAGAAAAAAAACCGTATCTAGTTGAAANTTCTCAACAATACCATAAAAGATAAAAAACCGTATCTAGTTGAAACTTATAATACCAAAACTTTGAAAAATTCCCTTCAATCCTTGAAATAAAGAGAAATGTCCCAATAAATTATTAATTTTCATAAAACAAACAATAGTTGATATACAGAGTTATTTTTTTATCATAACCCACTCAATTACTTACTGAATAAATATATTTAAACATTGATTTTTTGGTTTTCTTTAATTATACAATACTTTAAAAAATATTCTTGAATTATTAACTATGTAATACTTTTTAAGTTCGTCCCTTATACCTTGTAAGAGTGTCTACTTTGTTTTTTTTTAAATAAAGACATATTTTGAATTTAATAAAATGTTTGAGTTTTTAATTTAATAATAAATGGAATTTGAATTTTTAATATAACTTTATTTGTTTATATCAAATAAATAAACAAAGTTTTACTTAAAAAGTATTACATAGCTAATAACTCAAGAATAATATGTAACTAAAGGTAACCAAAAAAAATTTTTTAATTTTTTTTATTCTGTAAGTAATTGAATGAGTTATGTTAAAAAAATCACATTTTATTATATTGTTTTTTTTTCTACAGACACGCATAAAAATCAGTGATCCATTTAAAGGAACAAGCTTCTTAACACGTACCTCCCATAATTGGAAATGCTTTACGATTATAAAAATGTTTGTTAACCTTAATCATAATTATTTTTTTTTGCTCATATTTTGAAGGAAAAGCAGTCAAATATTTTCATTGTAGTTTGTAACGTGACAAAAGTATTTGGTTGTTTTTTTTTGTCTATTTGTATATATATATTTGTGTTGAGCCGAATGCGGACTGCGACGGCATTTGTTGGTAAAATTATCATGATAAGGTGTTGTGATTTGTTTATGCGCGTGCGAGATAGTCAGCTGTGTACTACTTCGGACCGGTTCATGGACGGAATTTGTGTGTACATTCACCCCGCTCCTTTCCTATCTTGAACGTCATTTGCACTGCTCACCGCATACATTGTCGCCATATGATTTAAATTGTTTTTAATAATTTCCGGCACTGGGTATTTAGTTATTTTTTGACCCCTACTCTAAAGGCTAGCCGTTTGGTCGCCAACGGACCGCCGGGTCAATCGTCGGACGGGTTGTCGGAAATTAGCCATCATCGGAACTGGTCGTCGCTAATTTTCGTCCATAGCGGTCTTTTTTGTTGTGTGCGCTGCAACTTTTTCATTTTTTTATATATATATTTTCGTGAGTGTCCGTTATTTTTTTTATAATGTAATTATTATTTATATTGGCGTCGGCTAAACCTGCCTCCATATTCGTTAGCCCTTCGGGGCTGGTAATGTATTAGTTTTGTATATAATGTTTTGAGCCAGTTATTTTTTAGTGCGCCGTGCCATAAGCACGTGTGGCGAATTTTTTTATATAGTTTTTTTTATAGGTGCCCTTATATTTTTTTATTTAGGTCCCGCAACATGACAGGTGGTCTTGCCACCTGTCATGTTATATCCATATTTTTTTGTGATATTTTTTATAGGTTTTATAATATATTTTATTGGGTGATGAAATGTTATTGGTACAATGTGGTGACGTAGTGCATTTTATTCCGGGGTGTCCTAACGTCTTGCAAGCTAAGCCTAACTGCCAGAAACCAGTCGCTTACTTGGGACGTATACCCGCCGTGCTTAGCGGCAATGCTGCGATTAATAGCCGGCGGGTACCCGAAGACGTTCATCGTATTCTCTAACAATAAAAGTGTAGGTGTAACTATTTTTTTTATTAATATCTGTTTTTTTTTTCTCTTTTTCTTTGTCCCCTTTAATTTATAGACGAGGTTTTTTGACCATTCGGTTTTTTGCCTCGTAATAACTTAATTTTTTGTTTTTTTTATTTATTTAATAAAGTCCCCTTAATTTAACTTAACCATCATCTGTTTCTTCTTTTTTGCGTGTTCCATCTTCAATGGACTCGTGTATTTTTTTTTTCCTTTCAAAAATCAACTCCCCTAGTTTATAAGGTACGGGCAACGGCTTTGTATAAGGTCATCCCTGATCTATATGGTTATGTGACAACTGTCACGAGGTTTTGGTGTATATCTACTATCAACGACTCAACGGACATCAACTTTAATATTTATTAATTATATATTTGTTTTTAATTGTTTTAATATACAATAGTTAATTTTTTTAAAGTCCTACTGTGGTCCGACAATACACTGTCTCGCCCCGTAGGTTGGCGACCCTCTTCTTATAATTTTGTAAAACGCCATGAAAGTTACAAATTTTTCGTTGCGGCCAATTAATTTGATTTTTATATATTTGTAACCTTTCAAGTTCATTAAAGGACACCTCTTTCGTGCTTTTCATGTATTAGTATTCCCCTGAATGAAATATCCACTACATATTTTATTAGAGNAAGTTCATTAAAGGACACCTTTTTCGTGCTTTTCATGTATTAGTATTCCCCTGAATGAAATATCCACTACATATTTTATTAGAGAAACTCATAGTTTCAAACTATTTATAATTTATACATCAAATTTTACAGAAATAAATTAAAAATAAACTAACAAATGACTAATATATTAGTAATATTGACAAGAATTTCATGAATTTAATTATATTTCTAGTTAAAATATTTTCAAAATACTCCAATTTTGATTAAAACTATTATTTATTTGTCATTAATTTTGTTTTGATATTATACAAATATTATTACTTAAATTGTTTGAATGATAAGAATAAGATTTCACAATAACATAGCTATTTAAAAAAAAAAATTTAATTTCTTTAAAAACTCCTAGAAATAATTTAAAATTTGGTAAATTAATTATTGCATATAATATAACAAAAACTTGTTATAATACTAATGGCTGATGTCATAACCATATATTTAAATTAAATAAATGGTTTTTCATCCTCCTAATGCGTATTATAAAATTACTGAATCGATAAAATTTTCTGTTATTAATTTCAGAAGAGTCCTCGTGTATGAATATCCAGAATATAATACATTAGTTATTTAAACATATTTACCAGTGATTATAATTATTATTATTTCAATATAATTTGAAAACTATCTATACAGAGTGATTTTTTTACCATAAATCACTCAATTACTTTCAGAATAAATGTAATTTAAACATTGTTTTTTTTGGCTTTCTTTAGTTACACAATATTCTTGAATTATTAACTATGCAATACTTTGTAAGTTCATCCCTTATGCCTTGTAGAGTGTCAACTTTGTTTTTTGATGTGAAACATCTATAGGCGAGGGGTAAAAATAATCGTTTGCGTGGCGACGCTTGCCGTGGCGATGCGTCGCCACACTGTAAACGGTATATATATATAGTGTGGTGACGCTTGCCGTGGTGATGCGTCGCCACACTATAATATAGTAAATATATATTTATATATATATATATAGTGTGGCGACGCGTCGTCATGTGGAAGTGACATTTCCCCCACCGCACCGATCTTGGTCTTCAGTGTACAGTGTTGTTTGATTACGGTACATATAATAAACATAAAACATACCTGTTTTTTATTATTTTTATTATTATTTATATTATTAATAATTTTTTTTTAATTAATAAATAAATAAAATCGCATCAAAATGTCTGACAGTGGTAATTTACAAAGTGAAAGTGAGCAGCCTCCAGCAAAAAAAGCGCGTTATGACATATTATCAAGTCATGAGTAAGTTAATTATATTTATATAATAAGTTATAAGTTTGTATTCATCAATATATAAAAGTCACATAAATTTATTTTATTATATATTTTTTTTATAAATATGTCAGTAGCCAACAATCATCGCAGTGGTCTCAAAATATTATTATTGAAGCTAGACATCAAGATCAGTTAAACACAAGACATGCCATTAATGTTATGTAAGATTTTATCAATATACTAGTACCACAAAATATACTAATAAGGAGAGGTGGTCAAGGTGTGGGCCTCGCCAATTTTTATAAAATCTACATAGGTCTATTCTATATTAAACATTAAACCACATTTATGTCGAATTTGTTGCCAATTTCCTTAAGCCGAGAAAATCGACTAAAAATTAAAACAGACTTTAAAAGTATGACCTTTTTATTAGCAATAGTCATCAAGTGTCATAGTCTAGTCGGTAGCGCGGATGTGTGAAAGACTATATGACACAAGTTCATTTCCCAATAAGGACAAATTCTTTTTGCATTTTAAAAATAATTTTCTGTAGTATCAACTTCTATTAATTTATTATTCATTTATGTCTTTGCAAAGTTTTTTTTATTTTTTTTATAAATATTTCAGTAGCCAACAATCATCTCAGTGGTCTCAAAATATCATTATTGAAGCTAGACGTCAAGATCAGTTAAACACAAGACACACCATTAATGTTATGTAAGATTTTATCAATATACTAGTACCACAAAATATACTAATAAGGAGAGGTCAAGGTGTGGGCCTCACTAATTTTTATAAAATCTACATAGGTCTATTCTACATTAAATATTAAACCACATTTATGTCGAATTTGTTGCCAATTTCCTTAAGCCGAGAAAATCGACTAAAAATTAAAATAGACTTTAAAAGTATGGCCTTTTTATAACCAACAGTCATCAAGTGTCATAGTCTAGTTGGTAGCGTGGATGTGTAATAGACTATTGGAGACAAGTTCGAATCCCAATAAGGACAATATTTTTTTTGCATTTTAAAAATAAAAATTTTCTGAAGTATCAACTTCTATTATTTTACTATACATTTTTATTAAATTTTATGTCTTTGCATTTACAATACTTTGAATCATTGGTTGTTAATAGTATAGGTTTGGATTTTATTATTGAATTATATTACATAAACTTTATATTATTATATTATATTATAAAAAATAGTTTGTCATGCTTGTCTAAAATTTTTATACAATTTTTAGAGTAAATAATAATAAAAAGGAAAGTCAAAAGCGATATAGGGAAAATAATAGAGAAAAATTAAAACAACGTGAAGCGGAAAGAAGAAAACGAATGAAATGTTTACAAAGTACTGCCGGGCCATCTACTTCTTCAAACACTAATACCATTGAATTGAATGATGAAGATACAATAAATGTTATTTCCCAATGTTCTTCTGGCTTGGAAAATACATGCACAGATTCTATTCAAAATAATGAGCAAGCTAATAAAATAAATGCTCTCCAAAAAAAACGAGAACGCCAAAAAAGATACAGAGAGCAAAACAGGGAAAAATTAAAGCAGCGTGAAGCGGAGAGAAGGAGACGTTTGCGAAATGTAGAAATGATACCAGAAGTGTCCAATTGTCTAAATAATGAATTTACAGAAATTATAAATGATCCAATAATAAATGAAACAGAAACAGATTCTGGGCGTGACTTTGAAGAAATACAGCACGTAGTGAATGAAGTACCTCAGCAAAATTTAAGAGACATGTCAAATACGTACAGCCAATTTAGACACCATAAATTAGCTCATGAATATTTTCAAAATAATTTTAAAAATAATGAATTTGGACATGCTTGTTCAATTTGCGACCGACTATGGTTTGCAAAAGATTTGAAGACACCATCTGCATCTGGACGTATAATTGATATAATAAACGTTGGGCAAAATGTGGATGTTCTCAAAATATGCTCTACTTGTAAATCAGCACTAGATAAAAATCACATTCCTAATATGTCTGTGTATAATGGATTTCACTATCCAAAAATACCCCAACATTTGCCAAAAATAGATTTTATCACCGAAAGGCTTATATCTCCTCGAATACCTTTCATGCAAATACGTAGATTGAGACATGTTCAAGGACAATTTGGTATATACGGACAAATTATTAATGTTCCTGTTTCTGTTGACACTATGGTTCGGTCACTTCCGAGAAATGTCAATGATGAACATTGCATTTACGTTCATATAAAAAAAAAATTGATTCACAAAAGTAGTTTTGTTCAGGGCTTAATTAGCATTAGATCAATTAAAACATGGTTACATTATTTGATTAATACTCCTTTATATCAGCATTACCAAATAACAATTGATGAATCATTTTTTAATCAAGAAACACCATTGATTACACAACAGAATATCGACGAATTCAGTGAAAATATTGATATTGAAGAAAGTCTTTCTGCTCAACAACAAACTTTAGTATGGAATGAAGACAAGTATTTAAGATTAGCACCGGGGCAACAAAATATTCCACATAGTTTATTATTTGATGAGCATGCTGAAGAGTTATCATTTCCGAGTATTTATATGGGACACTTTAGGGAATTTAAAGATACAGTCAAAGTTACACCATTTATGATGGCATCTAGTGAATTGCGACGTAAGGATCGCCGAGGAGTCAATCCCTATCATTTGTTATACATGGCTGTAAAAATTATGAGACTGCGAGTTCGTGACTGTTTAACAATTGCATTCAAACATGTTGGTACAGATACCAATATAACTAAAGAACAAGTTCAAACCGAAGAGTATATTCATAACTGTATAGAGTCCAATTTAGCTTTTTTAAGGTCAATACCCAATTCAGTATGGTACTGGTCTACAAGAAAAAAAGATTTATTTGCGATGATTCGACAGCTAGGAAAGCCAACAGCATTTATGACATTAAGCGCGAATGAAATAGGGTGGCCGGATTTATTAACATTGTTGAATAAATTAGCTGAAGAAAAAGAAGATGTACAAAATATTAACGCATCAGAACTTAGTTTCATCCAAAAAAGTTCATTAATTAACAATGATGCCGTAACATGTGCTATTTATTTTAATAAATTAGTTAATGTTATAATGTCAATTTTACAATCGAAGAAATTTAGTCCTTTTGGTAAGTTCAGAGTTATAAACTACTTTTTGAGGATTGAATTTCAACATCGTGGAAGTCCACATGCGCATATTCTCTTGTGGCTTGACAACGCTGCTATAGATATTCTTGGAGAAGATCAAAAACAAGCTATAGAAATGATTGATAGTTTAGTGTCAGTATCAACGTCGGAAGCATCCGGAAATATCAAATTACTTACGCATAAGCACACTTTTACATGCTACAAAAAAATTGGCCCAACTTCAGTACAAAAGTGCCGATTTGAAGCACCATTTATGCCGTGTAAATCTACAATAATTTTAATACCGATGGATAAAACGAATCCACATTACAAAGAATATTTGAAAAGATATAATGAAATTAGAATCAACTTAGAAAGTAATGACTATGACAGTATTGATGATTATTATGAAAGTAATAATATCAGATCAGATGAAGAATATAAAAATATACTAAGATCTGGTATAAATAGACCAAAAATATTTTATAAACGTCATCCATCAGAAAAATGGCACAATACTTTTAACCCATTTGTTTTCAATGTCTTAAAGTCAAATATGGATTTCCAGATAATTACTGAAGAATATTCTTGCGCTGCATATGTCGTCGAATATGTAAATAAGACTAACAGAGGCATTAGCAATTTGCAACGCAAAATAATAGAAGTTATGAATGAGAATCCAGAATTTGACATCGTTGAAATAACTCGTAAAATGAGCGTTGACATGCTGAATACTATTGAGATGAGTAGTCAAGAAGCGGCTTGGTATCTTTTAAGGTTGCCAATGTCTAAATCATCAGTTGCGATTCAGTACATTAACACTTGTTGGCCGATTGAAAGACAGAGGATAAAAAAGACACAAAAGCAAATAGATGAACTTGATGATGACTCTACTGATATTTGGAAGGAAGATTGGCACGACAAATATCAAAAACGGCCACAAGAATTGGAAGAAGTTTCTTTAGCGCAGTTTGTTTCAAAATATACTAAAAACAGAAAGGGAGAGTACGTCAGAAAACAGCATCCTCAAGTTATTCGTTATAGAAATTATAGTATGACTCAGGATTACAATGAGTATAGAAGAGAAATGGTTACCTTACATATACCATTTAGAAATGAAGACACAGAAATATTAGCAGATATGAAATTCACAACTACATACGATGAGCGCGAAAACGAAATTTTAGAAAAAAGAAAAGAATTTGAGAAAAATATTGATATTCAAAAGATAATTGATAATTGCCGACAATTATGCCATGAGGATGAGCTGGTAGATGACGAATCAGAAATTCAAGATTTTGCGACAAGATTTCCAGAGCCAAATCCCTTTGAAGAATTTTACAGAAATCCGAATGCTGCTGTAAATGAAGATTTACGTATAGCTACGCTTAAAAACTTAGGAGCAATAGCCAGAAGAAGAGAAAATATCATGAGCAATGATCGTTTTTGCGAGCTCATGAGAAGCGCTAATGAAAAACAAAAAGACTTACTTTTACACGTCATTCATCACAATATATCCGCAGAGAAGTCACCTCTACAATTATTTTTTACTGGGCCAGCTGGATGCGGAAAAACCTTTGTGATAAAATTGATAATGGAAATATATAATAGATTTTCTGATAACGATGGGTTCTGTAATTCATACATTACGTGTGCTTCAACCGGTAAAGCTGCAGTAGCCATTAACGGAACTACTGTTCATACTGCATTGAAAATATCGTTATCAAAACTAATTCCGTTGTCAATTGAAACAGCACAACAATATCGATGCTTATTTAAATATGTCAAAGTTTTAATAATTGACGAAATTAGTATGATTGGTGCCGAGCTCTTAAACCAAATAGACGCAAGATTAAAGCAAATAACTGGAAATTTTGATGAAAATTTTGGTGCCCTAGACATAATTTTGATTGGAGATTTGCGACAATTACCTCCAGTCCGTGCAACTCCAATCTACAAGCAGTCAAAACAACGGATGGTTGGACCCTTACTTTGGCGAGGATTAAAATTCTATGAACTAACTCAAATAATGCGTCAAGCTAACGAAAGGTTTGCTTCTATACTCACAAAAATTGGCAGTGGTATTATTTTAAATGATGATGAATTGGCAGTTATCGAGTCTCGATTTTTTACAAAAGAAGAAGTCTCACGGCGGTGTCCAAATGGTGTACGCTTATTCCATGATAATGCATCCGTTAATGCATATAATATTTTAGCTTTACAAACTGAAAATAAAATAGATTCTGTTGCAATGGATATTATTTCTGGTTGTACTAATCATGAGCAGGAAGCAAAGATGAGACAAAAATTACATAAGATGTCAGTGATTGATACAGGAGGTTTGCCATATGAAATTATTTTTGTTATTGGAAAGCCCTATATTATTACAACTAACATAGACGTGGTAGATGGATTAGCTAACGGTGCCGTTGGAAAGCTTGTTTATATAGAACAAAATGAAGAAAACCAAGTTACTCGCGTGTGGCTCATTTTTCCAGAAAAAAACACTGGTATGGTGGCTAGAAGAAAAGCGACAGCTTTCGTTGCAGAACATAATATCGATAGACGTGCTGTACCTATTGGACGTCGAACTTCGAGTGTATCACTTAATAATAATAAAACTATTATGGCCAAACGAAATCATTTTCCAATAATATCAGGATGTGCTATGACTATTCATAAGTCTCAAGGAGGTACTTATGACGAGGTGGTCTATGAGTATAGTAGAAGTCATAGTATTCCATTACTTTATGTAGCTTTAACACGAGTAACAAGTGTTGAAGGGTTATTTATTTGTAATAGTCAGGATGATCTAAGGTTTTATCATGGAAGAAGAGTTGATCCATCCATTTCAAGTTTACAACAAGAATTTGAAAGGTTATCGTTACATAAACTTACTACATTGCAAAAAGGAATCACTGATTTTATGAACTCCAGAAATAAATTAACTATATATACCTTAAACTGTCAAAGTCTTAGAAAACATACCCCTGATTTACAAGATTCTGTTTGTCAAAATAGTAACTTTTTACTACTAACTGAAACGTGGCTTCCTGCAAATGAATCAGTTGACCTTCCAAACTTTCATTGTATAGCTAAATTTAAACGGCAAAATGCGAGAGCTGCTGGTGTTGCCATTTATAAAAAAAATAATATTTCACATATTACTACATTGAACATGGATCTAGCAATTCAAAATACTGCAGATGTTCATGTCTCCCAAACATCTATTGGCGATATTTGCGCTTCACACGTTACATTAGAAAATGGAAGTGAATTAATTATGGTTGTTCTATACATTTCACCCAATAAAAAAATAAATGATATCATTTCATTTTTACACGAGAGATTATTTGTGTATAGTCACAGAGGGTCAATAATTTTGAAAACTAACAAAGATAGACAACCATTGATTTTAGCTGGGGACTTCAATATAAATTTTGGTAAAAATGAATCATTGCCACTAGTTACATTTCTCGAAGAAGAATTTCAGTTGCAAATGAATAATAATCCCAAAGAACCTACAACTAAATATGGAACGACAATAGATGGTATATTTACAAGATACCTGGGCAATGTTATTTCAAATACTTTTGTTACGTACTTTAGCTATCATCGTCCACTCGTCACTGTAATTTCGTCGGAAGAAACATAAAATATAAAATTTATAAAAGAAGTCACTTATTAAAATGTTGCGAGTGGTGTCACAATTAGAAATAAATTTTTTAATTTTTGTACTTAACAAAAAATGAATAAATATGTATTTAACTGTCATTATTTTATAGAAAATATTTGTAATACTTCATATTTTCATTTTATCATATTTAATTCCTATTGTAACCTAATCTTCTGTGCGTATAACTTGTAAAAAATAATTTCGATGTTTCACATCAGCCAGGCGTCCCGTGACGGCTCACAGTTTTTTT